TCCTCGGGAAGAGCGGCGAGTTCCTTTTCAATATTCAGAAAAGAATACAGAATACAAAATTCAACTCTCTCTCGAAGACCTAGGATTACAAACAGACCTATTTATAATCCTAGAGTAAGCCCTGCAATACAATATGTAATTCCCAAATTACCCCTGTACCGTATAGCCCCAACCCATATAACGTAACTTCCCAATTTGGACAGATTCTTTCGCTCCGCTCCGCTCCGCTTCGTTCCAGCATCTGTCCCTATATGGTATATGAGTCATACCATAACAGAGGAGATAATGAAAGCAACAATTTTTAAATTGTGTGTATTCCTGCATGTGTAGGTATCTAGGCACATTCCTCCCTCTGGGAATTAGACAATGTGAAAAGATTAGGAAATATTTATAATAAGGAAGATTTATATACAGAACACTCATTTCTTATGTATTTACATAAATAATACATAAACTTCAATTATTGCGTACATGCCATCTTATTGTACATTCCTGCCGACCTGTAAAAGAATGACTGAAAAGTTAGGATATTTTTATAATAAGTTAGAATTATGTACATATCACTCAACTTTTATGTATTTATATAAATAACATCTAATTTTCAAATTTTACACTTATATATGTTATCTCATTAAAACTATATTGCATTTTTTTGAAAATTTAAATAATGGTATGTTTGATGTTATACGGAAGATTTAGTTGTTATAAATGTATATAGGAAGAAAAGTTTAGGTGTATATAAAAAGAAAAGTTTTATTTGATACTAAAATATATAAGAATTAGGCGATATGTATGCAAATGTAACTTATAATAAAATTGATATGTTAGAGCTTATTTAGAGGAGCTTCACCGTTTAGTGAAGTTTCTTTAATAGCCACGCCCGCGGAAGGGACATCGCCAGTCGTTTTGTGAAAATAACTTTGAAAAAAAGCTGTTTTACCAAACGAATGTGAAACCACGGTTCAACATTCGCTACAACAGAACAACGGAACTGAACAATGGAACTGAGCTTCACTGTATTCTTAGGGTCTCTTTGGGGCAGCTGCAGCTTATCCAGCTTCTGCTGATAAGCAGCTTCTCCTGATAATCTGCTGATGACCAACTGATCCGGAAAAAGCTGTGAATTTAGAATATTATTTATATTAACACACACCGTGTGCGTGTGTGTTAATATAAATAATGAACACAAACAATAGTGTGTTTGTTCATTGTTTAGTTTGTATGTTGAACTCCCCATAAATTTTCTCTCTAGCGATTGATTTTCATCTCCTCCCGCAACCCTCAATCTTTTAAAAAAACAAGTGAGAGGGGGTGTGGGCCTCCAATATAGCCATGGAGCATATCTTGAGGTCACCAAAAAGCTAAGTCCAAAGATAAATACCAAGAAAAAAAAGGTGGAGGATAATAGATGCTTACACCTAACAAAAGACCATAACATGACTTGGTTAACAGCTCATTCTATTTGCAACAAGATAGTTTAACATGACAAAAGATACTGGCATAAAATACTTATTTATGATTATCCAAGCATGTCAAACTAGTAAAGTGCTTTATCATGACTCATGAGAGAAAGCTATCCTAGACTAACATATATATAAATACATAAACTTGCTTAAAACGCTTCAATAACAAATAAAAATCACCCATTGGTGTACATTTTCTTGACTGGCAATTATAATGCAATTAACCAACCTGGTGTTACCGAAAATGGAAGAGGAGAACCATTTAAAGTTTGATTATCACCATAAACATGCAAAAGGAACCTTCCAGCAATGGTGGGAGTAAACTCGATGATAAGATATCCCGATTCATTCCAAATAATAGAAACTAAATTGAAAATCTCCGCTGCAATTCCATTGGAATAAGATGTTGACAGTGTAAAATAATCTTCAGTTCGCATATGCACTAAGGAGACATTATTTCCAAAAGCATCTTTAGGATATATCAGCAAATAAGTTTTTGTCCCAGCTAAAGACTCATCGAAAAAATCAATCCAAGAAGGCAGACAAGCAGATGGGTACATTGGTCCTTCAAATAAAATGTTATAGCAAAAATTAGCAAGACTCTTGTGAAGAATAAAAGGGGCATTTACAAACATAACACACAATTCTTGTGTATTTGCATATCCGAACTTAAACATTTATATTTACAAGCATATCACTTAAATCTTTAACATTAATAAAAGGGGCATTTGCATACATACCACACAATTTTTATCTATTTACATATCTAACACCAAAACTTTCATATTTACATGCAACATCACATCAAAAATACCATCATTGCTTACTTTTTAAAAGAGAACAACACATTTTCAAATATAGGTTTATGAAACCAAATTGTTATAAATGTAAATATGGAAGTCTATGAGCTAGATATGTAAATACATAAGAATTGTGTGGCATATATGTGAAATTCCCAAAATAAAAGGAAGAGCATAATAATAAGGCATGACGCGAATATACCAGCAGTAACACTGAAATGAACTGATGAATCAGCGTCTCCAGAAAAATCTTCAACAACAAACACAGAAAAGTTCCCAACTTGGATAGGTGTAAGAGAAATATGTTGGCATACAGTTTCCTGGACAGGATTTAGTAAATCCTTCTAATAACTCGAATCTAATCCGTTGCCGGACAACCCCTAAAAAGCACTAAAAAATTTAAAAGCAAAAATAGTCAAAGGAAAGAAATTATCACTTAACCGGAAAATTTTGATCACACGCACCTCTTTGAGATGTAGAGTGATATGTCGCAGTTGCAGCTGGAATAAAAAT